GGAAAAAACCCCCCCCCCCCCCCTGGTTCACAAAATTTGAGATCGAGAAATTTTTTTCATTATTCTGCATTATAAGTACCCAAAGAAGCTATGTATATAAAAAACCAGATACAAATAGGTGCTTTGCGAAATTGAGAGCAATTTCATATCTGTTCAGAGTTTTTTGATACACCCTGTAGAGTGTGTATTATATAATTTCCATACCCAGCGCAAGCAGAAAGATGTTGTCTGCCGCGGCTGGGTCTCGAACCCGCGACCTTCGAATTACTAGATCGACGCTCTCCCTACTGAGCTACACGGTCAGCTCTACCTACCAGCTCTACCTACCTACTGAGCTACCTACTGAGCTACACGTTCAGACGGAATTCATAGTGGGGCCCCCTGTGCTACAACCGCAATTTGTGGTCATGCAATGTTAGGTAAACCTAAACGTTGACAGATGTAAAAATATTTCTTTTCTAGTTCTGAGTGTGGAAAATTCCGAGACACAGTAGACTGTTGCTGGAGTGTACTGTAAGAATGACATTAGTTATCACTTGCAAATTTGTCACCTTTCAAAGCTTGTCGAAAAGAAAAATACAAATTAATTCTAATTTTCAGAATCTTTCTAATTGTTACTGAAAAAAGGAATAACCTTGATTAAATATAATATTAATCTACAATAAGAAATAATATAAATTCTTGAAGCTTATAACCTTGAGCAAAATGACCCAGGGTCGGCCTGGAAAAGTTGATTTTTTTATACAGAACCGTAACTTATTTGAATTCTAGTTTCATTGGTAATTGTTTCTAAACCTAGAGACAATTCAATGGCTAGAAAACTATCCTGAGCGAAACTAACGAAATATTGACATTTGACATCTCAGCGAGCAATATACATTTCGTTCGGCCAGGGGTTTTCCCCGAGATTTAATTCGTACATTCACTGAAAATTTTGTCTGTAGTATGACTAATTCTGAGGTTTCCAATTTCATTGAACATTGTTATTTGTTAAACAGGTAAAGGTATTTGTTAAAGAGGTGCACAAAGCGAACAGGGGGAAGTTCGTATAGTATGTCACAATCAGGACTCATGGCACTGAGGCGCGCAGAAGACATTGGACACACTGGCATTGAATGACTCACCGTGAAGATAAACTGTACTCAAACAATTTTTTCCAATTGCAAAACCAAAGAATAATGATGAAAGACATTGTTTACAAAATCAAGCTTCGCTCAGTGTAGTGTAAGGCGATTTTATCTGTTAATATCAATAATTAGGTTTACCGATAAAGTATGCTCGATTTCGACACATTTTCAAATTTTACAAAGTTTTTGCGCGCTTGTCATTTTTGTCAAATATAGTAAAGCAGAAATATATTAGGCCTATTGGCGATTTGTGTTGACTAATGTTAGTAGTTTATAGAAAAGTTAAAGTCATGTGCCAATTAAGTGTCACGATTTTGAAATATAAACTTTCAAAGTTGATATATTTTGAGACGACATCCGTTATCCGTTCAGGAGGGTCAATAACTGCGCTGTTTTCTATTTTATACCAAAGAATAATTATCTAAGTCATACCACCAACGAAAATAGAAGGCAAGTCTATATTTCTGAGCAAAAATTTTGAAGTTTATGTATGAATTTGATTTAAAAAATAGCGCTGAAAATATGTCGATATTTTGCCTTCATTCGGAGTTCAAATTGGTTATCAGCCGATCGAAAATCCATCGCCCCCGAAAATAATTTAAAGGAAATTTGAGTAAAATGAAATCGATTTTAATTGTTCCCAAGGATAGATCTTCAAAATACTAGAGTATGAGAGAAATCTATTTTTGAGCCCCATATTGACCTGGAGGTTTTTACAGAGACAGCCTCTTAAAACCCCAAAGGAAAACCAACAAAGTGTTACATTAACAACAACCCACTGTAATGAAACAGCGCAATCATGGTGTGAAATTAATAATATTACTAATCTGACGAATGACAAATCTCTTGCTCCTGAAGCTAACTTGACTATGCAAAATATCTCACCGCTGTCTACCGTGTGAACATCACCTAATGCCAAAACAACATCAAAGGTCTCAATTGCCTCATATCCTGTGCTAAAAAATACAAAGAGGAATTCCTTTCCCGTAGACTGGCTGGAAAAGTTGCCCCTCATAGAAGGAAAACATAAGCCGCAATCAGTTAAGTGCTCAAACACCAATAAACTTGTAAACAGCCAAAAGGAAAATTTTGAAAGCACTTCCTGTACGCATCAAAAACAACATGTTGCACCAGATGAAATAGATGATCATTTTTGGGGGCTCAATTGGAAAAAGCGGAGTCGGCTAACGCGCAATCGTTGTCACAAACAGGATTGGCTCAACCAGTGAAGCTTGTTCAACGCATGATGAAGTGATAAAAATGCCAATTCAAGTTAGAACCTCCTTACGCAAATCACCACCCATAAATGATAATAAAAATTTTAGTTGTGCGTTTAACTGAACCACCATTCCTAAAAATAAAGTCAATTCAACCCCAGTGATAAATAATGGTAATTCGATATCGAATAGAATAAAATAAAACTAGTCCATTTCAATGCGCGATTTCTCAAAAACTGGGGGCATTTAACCCAAATCAAAGAACTTGTGGTGGACGAGAACGTTGACATCATTACAATATCAGAATCGTGGTTGAAGCCGAAGTCGAAATACTTGGTTACATAATATACAGGCTAGACCGCAAGCATAAGAAGGCCGGCGGTGTTTCCTCTTATTTGCGAAACGACTTTAAAGAAACAACGTTAAAGGTCTTCTCGTACATCTCTACATTAAACTTTCATCAACTGTGGTTACATATACAAGTGAGACAACACAAATCGTTTATTGTCTGTGTTGCGTACAGACCCCCAGATTCTCAGATCACCTGCATTAGAGAGGAATTGAAACCCATGTGTATCGAAGCATTACTTTTGGCCAAACAAGTTGTGATTATGGACGATTTAAACTGCAATCTTCTTAATCCAAACTGTTTGGAAGCGAAAGTACTAACTGATATCTGTTCTGAATTACATTTAACCCAACTAATTAATGATCCAACACGAATAACTTCACATTCAAGATCCTTATTAGATGTTATCATGGTTTCTTCTTCCTGTATAGTGAAGGACGGTGGTGTGGTAGATATAGGTATCAGTGATCACGCCATGTTTTTTTGCACACTAAAACTAATGGCCACCAAACCTCCCCCCACGAAATACAGTGACTAATCAAGTAATACAGTGACTAATCATAATAAAAAATACAGTGACTAATCATAGAGCACTAAGAAAGGTCCCTTATCGTAAATCATACAACATACCAACTGTTCTATCAGCAAATGTTAGGCGACTCGCAAAGAAAGTTGACGAGATTCAACAAGTTACTGAACTTAATAATGTCAATGCAATATGTATAACTGAGACATGGTTGTCTCCAAATGTGCCGGATTGCTCTGTCGTTATTCCAGGATACAATGAATACAACAGGAATACAGTGAATACAACAGGAGGAGGAGTGTGCATTTATCTAAATAATACAATTCCCTATAAGAGGCTAGAGCAATGTAACGAAGATGGAGTTGAATCTGTATGGAGACCTACTGTTTACCAAGGAATATAACATCCATAATACTGTCAGTAATATACCATACGACCTCTAATCGCGAATCTGAGAATATTATTCTCCGACAACATATTCAACGTAACCTTGACAACCTATTAGCTAATCAGTCAAATGCGATGTAATACTTACTGGCGACTTTAATCCAACGTCAACCGGATTGAAATCGAAAGATTTGACTCAAACAAATCATCTCAAACAACTTGCCACTTTTAAGACAAGGGATTGTGGTATCCTGGATTGGTTCCTGACAAATCGGTCTAGGTTATTTGAATTGTCTCAGTTACCTAAAATTGCATCCTGCGATCATTTCACAATACTGGCGAAACCACTTATAGGACCTAAGAAGAACAAAGTAACTAAAAAAATTATTTCTCGTGATGTGAGGGATAGTGCCTGGCGTGAGTTTGGTCGATGAATAACCCAGAAAGATTGGAACCCAGTCCTTAATACTTCCTCCTGTGAAGATAAGTTCCAACTATTCATCACAGAGTTAAAGCAAGGTGTCGATTGCTATCTCCCACAAAGGACAGTAAAAGTTCACCAAACAGATCGTCCATGGATGACAAATAAACTCAACATATGGATCAGAAAACGCCAAACCGCATTCCAAAGACATGGTAAAAACTCGTCCATATATAAACACTGCAGGAATAAAATTCAAAGAGAAATTAAAGCGGCCAAGTCACATTATTATAAACATAAAGTTGCAGAACAGGGACAGACTAACCCCCGGAAATGGTGGAAACAAATAAAAAGTCTTATGGGACAAGACATTCAACAGGAGTGGCACTATCAATTTCTTGGTGACAATGGGAATGTTAAGATACTCGCAGATAGAGTCAATAACTTCTTCTTGAGCATAACTGAGAACTTTTCACCGTTATCGCCTGAAGCAGTGGACAAAAATCAAATATCTATAGTAGTCTTTATTGATCTGTCCAAAGCTTTTGACAGTATACACAACACGACATCCTTCTCCAAAAGATATTACGTTTAGGCGTCTCTCCTGCAGTCCACCAATGGTTTAGGACCTATTTGTTGGATAGATCTCAATATGTCCGTATAGGAACCACCACCTCAACTACAGCTCCATTTACACACGGAATACCGCAGGGTTCAGTGCTCTCACCGTTCTTATTCAATATTTAGACTGACAGTCTATCTTCAATACCAGAACTCTGTAGCCTTGAATCTTATGTGGACGACTCCAAAGAGTATCTATCCTTCTCACTACCGATTTTGGACTCTTCTTTATCAACTATGGAAGACGACTTGCATAGAGTGTTCGAATGGTGTTGCAAGAACAGCTTACTGATAAATCCAGACAAAACTAAAACGCTGGCAGTTGGATCACAACAGTTGCTTCAACAACTGGATCATGCATGTCCCTCGCATTAATTTGGAAAAATCAAAATTAATTGGAAAAACCCTGGAACCTGTGTCGCAAGTCAAAGACTTGACAATACTTGACTCTAAATTAAAATATAATGAACACATACAGCATTTATCATCATGATGTATTTTCAAACTTTGTCAGATCAACGGGATAAAGCAACTATTTGACCAATCAACATTAACCTCCATCGTAAACGCACTAGTTATGAGTAAATTGAACTACTACTCATCAATATGGTCCAATACATCTGAGGAGTACATCAAGAAAATCCAGCTAATTCAGAATTATGCAGCGAGGGTTATTTCAGGAAATGTCGGTAAATATGACTATGTATCTCCTTTATTAAAAGAACTCGGTTGGTTACCAATGAAAGAGCATCTACAATACAGAGACGCTGTCCTCACCTACAAATGCATTCATAATCAAGCACCCTCGTACTTAGGTTATTAGTTCATAAAAAGAAATAAAATCCATGATCGCGCTACACGAAGCCAAAATGATCTTGACATTCCAAAGTATCGGACGGTGACCGGTCAAAGAACATTCAAATACAGAGGAACCAAAATCTGGAACGCATTGGACGAGGAATTAAAATCTAGTGTTGATATCAACAATTTTAAATCTAGATTAAAAAGCAGGACTTTTAGAAGGAAATATGCAATTTACATGTTAATCTTAGTAACCAGTAATTAGTTGACAATTTGTAAATATACTTTTAATTGTACATAATAACTGTAAATTGACATTGAAAAGCCCGTTTTGGGAATGCCAATAACTATGAAATTAAATTAAATTTGATGCTTTCGATAGGATCATGTTTTAATGCTTATACAACAATTATCTGAAAGCGCGGGGCTGCCTTCAATATGAAGTTTAAAATATTATACCTCGTACTTTTATATAGGAGGACAGGGGATATTCCAGTAATTTATGTGGGCCAAAAAGGTGTCTTAGGAACCAATTTGTAAGTTTCTAGCGTTGATATTTTTTTCTTTTATTCATATGTACAGTACATACACGCGTTCTCACAATGTGCTACTGTACGCGCGTTGCCCTTGACATACATATTTCACATTTTCAGTTGGTTTGTTGGTGATATCATGAAGCACGTCGCTGAAGAGATGTTACTAAAGGAGGTACAGTAATTCTCCTGTATTTTCAAGCACTATATTATACATTACCACACTTAATCCAGGGTCGTAGCTACCGGCAGTATGTAGGGGTGGGGGGGGGGGG